ATGAATAGTGCTGGGAAAATTGGACAGCTCTATGTAGAAGATTGAAACTCAACCATTCTCTTACACCATACACAAAGATAAACTCATAATGGCTAAAAGACCTCAACGTGAGGCAGGAATCTATCAAAATCCTAGAGGAGAAGATAGGCAATAACCTCTTTGACACTGGCCACAGCAACATCTTTCAAGACATGTCTCCAAAGGCAAAGGAAACAAAAGCGAAAATGAACTTTTGGGACTTCATCAAGATCAAAAGCTTCTGCACAGCAGAGGAAACAGTCAACAAAACAAAGAGGCAACCCCCAGAATGGGAGAAGATATTTGCAAATGACAGTACAGACAATGGGTGATATCCAAGATCTATAAGGACCTAGTCAAACTTAACACACACAAAACAGATAATCATGTCAAAAAATGGGCAGAAGACATGAGCAGACACTTCTCCAAAGAAGACATACAAATGGCTAAGAGACACATGAAAAAATGTTCATCATCACCAGCCATCAGGGAGATTCAAATCAAAACCACATTGAGATACCACCATACACCAGTTAGAATGGCCAAAATTAACAAGACAGTAAACAACATGTGTTGGAGAGGATGTGGAGAAAGGGAAACCTTCTTACACTGTTGGTGGGAATGCAAGTTGGTGCAGCCACCTTGGAAAACAGTATGGAGATTCCTTAAGAAATTAAAAATAGAGCTTCCCTATGACCCTGCAATTGCACTACTGGGTATTTACCCCAAAGATACAGATGTAGTGAAAAGAAGGTCCATCTGTACCCCAATGTTCATAGCAGCAATGGCCACGGTCGCCAAGCTGTGGAAAGAGCAAAGATGCCCTTCAACAGATGAATGGATAAAGAAGACATGGTCCATACATACAATGGATTATTATGCCTCCATCAGAAAAGATGAATACCCAGCTTTTGTATCAACATGGACGAGATGGGAAGAGATTATGCTGAGTGAAATAAGTCAAGCAGAGAGAGTCAATTATCATATGGTTTTGCCTACTTGTGGAGCATAAGGAATAACCACAAAGGACAGTGGGTGAAGGAGAGGAGAAGTGCGTTGGGGGAAATTGGACAGGGAGATGAAGCACAAGAGACTGTGGACTCTGAGAAACATACTGAGGGTTTTGGAGGGAAAGGGGGTACGGGATTGGGTGATCCCGGTGGTGGGTATTAAGGAGAGCACACTATGGCATGGAGCACTGCATGTGGTGCATAAACAATAAATCTTGGAACACTGAAAAAATAAAATGAAAATTTTAAAGAAAGATAAAGATACAATAAAAAAAAGTCCATACCACCCAAAGCAATCTACAGATTCAATACAATTCAAATGGCATATTTCACAGAAATAGAACAGTCCTCAAATTTGTATGGAACCACAAAAGATCCTGAAGAGCCAAAGCAATCCTGAGAATGAAGAGCAAAGCTGGAGGCATCACATTCCTTGATTTTGTACCACATTATAAAACTGTGGTACTAAGAAGAGTGTGGTATTGGCATAAAGGCAGACATACAGATCAACAAACAGATTAGAGAGCCCAGAAACAAAACCATATATATATGATCAGTTAATTTGTGATAAAGGAGCAAAGAATATATACTAAGGAAATCCCAGTCCCTTCAGTAAATGGTGTTGGGAAAACTGGACAGCTTCATGCAAAATTATGAAATGGGACCACCATCGTACACCACACATACAAACTACCTCAAAATAGATTAAAGATTTGAATATAAACCTAAAACCATAAAACTCCTAGAAGACAACAGAGGGGGTACAGTCCTTGATATCTATCTTGGTGATGTTTTTTTGGATTTTACACCAAAAGTAAAAGCAACAAAAGCAAAACTAAACAAGTGGGACTACATTTTTAAAAAAACCTTCTGCATAACAAAGGATACCACTGATAAAATGAACTGTCAACCTACTGAATGGGAGAAAATATTTGGAGATCAAATATCTGATAAGGAATTAATATCCATAATATATAAGAACTTCTAGAACTCAATACTCAAGACAAAGAAAATATATAAAAATAGAACAGAACATCTGACTCAACATTGTTCCAGAGGAGACCAGCAGATGGACAACAGATGCATGAAAACAAGGTCCACATCATTCATCATCAGGGAAACGCAAAGGAAACCCACAGTGAGATATACCCGACAGCTGTCAGAATGCCTACTGTCAGAACAACTAGAAAGAACAAGTAATGGCGAGAGTGTGGAGAGAAAAGAACTCTTGCACGGTGGGTGAGAGTGTGCATTGGTGTAACCACTATGGAAAACAGTGCAGAGGTTCCTCAAAAAACTGAAAAATGGAACTACCCCATAATCCAGCAATCTGACTATTTACCCAAGGAAAATGACAATACTAATTTGAAAAGATGTATGCACCCCTGGGTTCATTTCCATGCTCCTCTATGTCCTTTTACCCTGATTATTCACAGTTGTCAAGACATGGACACAACCTGAGTGTCCACCCATGGATGAGTGGATAAGGATATGTGGTACAGATGTGCAAGGCAATCATGCCCACTAAAGAAAGAAGGAAATCTCAATGCGGGGACAACATGGATGGGACAACTTGACAGCAGAATGCTCAGTGATGTAAGTCAGACAGGGAAAGACAAAAGCCATGGGATCTCACTTACAGAATTATGGAATTAGGGGTGAGGAGCGGGTAAAATGGGTGAAGGAGTTGAAAGGTACAACCTTCCAGTTTGAGGATAAGTAAGTCCTGGGGATGTAAGGGACAGCATGGTGACTATAGGTAATAATATTGTATTGTATATTTAAAGTTGCAAAAGAATGGATCTTAAAGGTAACCATTCCAGGAAGAAATACTTTGTAACTGTATATGACGGTGGATGTTAAGTAGACTTACTGTGGGGATCATTTTTCAACCTAGACAAATATGGAATCGTTATGTTGCACACAAAATGAACATATGATATGTGAACTTTATCTCCATATAAAAGACAGAGGGGCACCTGGGTGGCTCAGTCAATTAAGCGTCTGTCTTCAGCTCGGGTCATAATCCTAGGGTCCTGGGATCAAGAACCGCAACAGGTTCCTGGCTCAGGGGGGAGCTGGTGTCTCCCTCTGCCTGCCGCTCCCACTGCTTGTGCTCACTCTTTCTCTCATTCTCTCTTGCATATAAATAAATAAAAATCTTTTAAAATTAAAAAAAATGGAAGAAAGAAAAAAGAGAGAGAGCTGTAGCATTAACTCAAGTTACCCCCAGACAGTCACGGTAATTCCCAGCTGTCCTTGTCGAAAGTTTGCAGAATTCAGAGTGTGAGTCCTGGTGAAGCGGTTCCAAGTGTCACACGGGTGTCTTATCTCATGGCCCACACCCTAGCCACACCCCGCCAGCTCCCGTCGCTTCCCTGAAACATCTGCAATTCCTGGCTTTTGGAACTTTCCTAGGGGAGGTCACTCCCGACCTCTCATGAACAAAACAGGAGGGGAACAGGAGTTCTCATGGGATCTGCAGGTGAGCCCCAGCCAGATCCGTCCTGCAAGCAGCCAGTGAGTGTGATGGGTCTGCAGGAGCATCAGCTCTCACACTGCCTGAGGACGTGGATTCAAAGAGTCTATCCCCATCATCTCGCCTAGGAATTTGGTGTGAACTCACAACAAAGAGTGATGGGGAGAGAGAGGCTGCTCTGCAATGTTCCTTCCCTGTCAGCTGTGCACAGACCCCTGGTGTGGGGCTGCAGCAGCCCCAGATACACCTGCTGCAGTCAAGGGTCCTTAGTCAAACTGAGGCCAAGTCATGACTGGCTCCCACTAGGGGCTCCCTGTTTGCTGACAGCTGTCTCCACAAAGGGCACACTGGCATGCCATGTGTGTGGGCCCAGACTCCACATGTACAGGTGCGGGACAGCACTGTGAAAGACCTCCTAATGCATCCACTGATGGAGGGTCCAGAGCAGGACTGGCAGGGTTTTGTGATCTGGACACAAATCATTGCAGCCAGGATTTCTGTTTTCCTTTGCAAATAACAATCAGCTTTTGAACTCCTGAGAAAGTATGTACATTATTATTCTGTTTCTTTGTGTTTCTATGTGTTAAGACTCTTATAAAGTCACATATAGTTGCATTTTGACTTAATGTGTTACAAAATGGGATGTTATCTTCAAACACTCATTTATTAATATATTCACACATATAAAGAGTAATAACAAATAAAAATGGCTAAAATACAAATAAAAATGGCTAAAGATGAAAGGCAGTCAAGATGTAAGAAGACAGGCTAGGAAGTGCCCTGCTAGGGTCTGAGCACAAATCCCCATCCTAGCTGCCCTACAATGTGGCTGTACAGCCTCAAGACGATGCCTTGACCTCTCTGGTTCACACGTCCCTCATTTCCAAAATGGGATACCAGCCATGCCTGCATCCTAGGCCCATGGGGCACACTGACTGTATGAGACAAATATATCACATGGAAGATGCCTGTGTGCTGGGGGTGCTCAGTGAAGGAGAACTCGGCGTGTGATGGTGAGGAAGAGGAGTAAGAGGAGGAGGAGGAGGACGTCCGTGTCTGACACTGTCATGGGGCATGTCTCCTGTCGGCCCCAGATCAAGCCTGTGAGGCAGGACCTGTCATGATCTCCACTTCAGAAATAAGGAAACTGAGACCCGGGGGGTAAGGCACACAGCGACAGAGCAGGGGGCCAGGATTCCCGCCCAGGCCTCACATCCCAACACTTAGATGGGAAGAGGAGGAGGAAGGAGCTGAAGGGAGCTGGGGGCTGGCATGGGCCAGGGGCCGTATTTCAGGTGGGAGAAGCTGGGAGAGTCCCAGGTGGTGGGAGGAGCTGGTGGAAGAGATGATGCCGTGTGGTGAGCAGGGAAGAGGCACTGGCCAGGGGCTGACGATGGCAAACTGGCCCGAACCGTGAAAGAGCTTGGTTGGGTGAGACTGGACAGGAGTCCAGGACTACGTTGGGAGCACTGGGGTGTGGGACCCCGCCTTACCCAGGGCCAGAGGAGATGTGATGTCCGGAACCAGGCGGCCCGCTCCTTTACAAGGTCCACAAGGAGATTGACATAGTATCTAATGTTGTTCTCATCGACAGGCTCAATCATATCTGGGAATTTCCTATTTGGGGGAGGCTCTGGGGAGAGAGTCGAGCCATCCCAGTGAAAGCCTTCCCTGCAGGAGAGTGAAGGGTTAGTGGAGCCCATCCGTGAGAAGGGAGGCAGCTGGGGTCCCGAAGGACAGGCAGGGTGCAGCCGGACCCAGGCAGCTCAGGGAGTGCAGACCACTGCTCAGGCCTCCTTCTCCCACCTGTGTGATGGGCAGCTCAGTGCTGGCCCACAAGAGCTCTGCAAGCAGATGGGGCACTATCCCATGTGTCATGATTCACCAGCCATGGGGCATTGAACACAGCCCCTTCCCCAGGCCCACATTGCCTCATCCACCACATGGAGCCCACAGTCTGTGTGTCCCCACTTCCACCCCTGGAGATCTCATGGGATTCCTTTCATCGCAGTATCAGACATGGATCCAAAGCCCTGAGCAGGGCTGGGGCAGGATGAGGCGAGAGAGGCACTGTGCCCTGGGGTGAACTGTAAGGCAGTGTCAAGTCTCAGTATGGGACATAGAGATAAGTTAGTGTCCTATTTCAAAACTCAGACTTAATGCAAAGCAAATTGTCATGAACAGAATCTCAACATTTCTCTAAGGACAAGGGCAGTATTCTGGATTTTCCCTCTTG